GAACTGCTATTGCTATTGCTATTGCTATTGCTATTGCTATCCTATTCCTATTCCTATTCCTATTCCTATTCCTATTCCTATTATTATTCCTATTCCTATTCCTATTCCTATTTCTATTATTCCTATTCCTATTCCTATTCCTATTCTAACCAGCAGTAAACTCTCTACAAAGTTCTTAAAACTGATAAAAGTTAAATCTTTCGGTCAGAAGTTTATCCCGCATTCCCTTTGTCCGGCGAAAGCTCCTCTTCTTTGACAATTGTACACTTCACAAGTAGCCTTCCCTAACTCTGCAAAATGATGAGGAATAAGTGAGCCACAAGCGGCTTTCAATTAACGGCGACGTTACCCAGCTACCCCTGGCAATCTTCTGTTTTACAAAAGGCCTACAAATCTAAGTGTCTTCATCAGTCGCTATTGTGGGAAGGAATAAAAGAAAGACGATAAAGAGGAAACTTTGGGGACCCATGTCTGCAGAACAAAAAAAAAAGAAACGAGTGAGAAACACGGCTGCCTTTACAATAGACTTCAAACCTTAGCAGAATAGAGACAGCTGATCTCAAAAATAAAACCAAGCCAGCCAATCACAATAGCACGAAGCCACGATTGATGATGTTCCGAAGCTTTAACTACACCGCATCTAAAGACGCATTTGACATTGGTTCTCGCATGTCAACAACAGAATAACAGAACAGCTTAACAGAGTTGGAAGGGAGTTTGGGGCAGTGGTATGATTCAGCCGGTTCGCACCCATTCGGGAGAACCGGTTGTTTAACTTTCTGAGCAGTTTGGCGAACTGGTTGGTGGTAGAAATCATTAGGGCAGAGAACCGGTGCTTAACCACTGGGTTGGAGGGGTTCTAGTCCAGTGGTTCCCAACTTTTCCAGCTTGGTGGCTTGGCCCGGCCCAAAGGGTGGGGGGGGGGCACATGAGTGGCAGCACACCTACGGGCACTCCAAGGATGAAATCCAGCAGGTTCTGACAGGTTCTGGAGAACTGGTAATGAAAATTTTGAGTAGCTTGGAGAACTGGTAGTGGAAATTCTGAGTAGTTTGGAGAACCAGCAAATGCCACTTCTGGATGGCCCCAGAGTTGGGTGGGAATGGAGATTTTGCAGTATCCTTCCCCTGCCATGCCTACCAAGCATGCCCACCAAGCCATACTGTTAGGTAAGCTCCCCGTTGGGAGAGCGAGTACGTTCAGAGAAGCGTTGTGAGAGTTGTGTTGGAGAACACACAAACCAGCATACAGAGACACTGCAGTTTAAATATGTGTTTACT